GGGGGGGGGGGGGGGGGGGGGGGATGGAATTGTTCATTCCCCCTCGTAAAAATAGTTCCAGTCTTTTACAGTTCTTTAAATTATGATCTTAAGGAAGTTTTGATAGATTCCAAACCTGTTAAGGCTCAGAATTAGGTTCTTTGTAATGTTAGTTTCTTAGGAAGTTCCCTTTATCTTTGGTACTTTTAGCTTCAGCTTCGGTTTAGTTCTCCGACCATCATTTGTTGTGACACTCTTAATCCACCGCTAGCAGATATTGTCCTCTTTGAGTATTCCCATAAAGGGCTTCTTCTCAAGGTTTTAAAACGCGTTTACTAGAGAGAGGTTTCCACATTCTTGTAAGAAATGTTTCGTTCCTCTCTCCAACCAATGTGAGATCTCACAATCCATTCCCTTGGGGGCCAGTCTCCTAGTTGGTATACTGCCTAGTGTCTGGTGGCTCTAATACCATTTGTAACAGCCCAAACCCATTGCTAGCGATATTGTCCTCTTTGGACATTCTCTTCAAGGGCTTCCCCTCAAGGTTTTAAAATGCGTTTACTAGAGAGAGGTTTCCATATCGTTATAAGGAATGTTCCGTTCCCCCCTCCAACCAACGTGAGATCTCACGTTGATCCTTAACAAGTTTAAAGAACATAGTTTGTCTGATCTTTTGTTAAATTCCTTGTCTCAAAAATCCAACCAAAGCTAAGTAGTTCCATCTGGTCCGAGTTTTGATGGTAATGGCTCATACTTTTGGACATTGTAATTGGAACTCAAAGCTCCCACAACGATTGTTATGCATTCCCTTCCCAAGATATCTTGAAAATACTTAATATTTGCCTTACCGTTTACGTAATAATGACAACTATAATGACCCAAGTCCACCGCTAGTAGATATTGTCCTCTTTAGGCTTTCTCTTTCTGGCTTTCCTTCAAGGTTTTTAAAACACGTTTGCTAGGGAGAGGTTTCCACACCCTTATAAAGAATGTTTCATTCCCCTCTCCAATCGATGTCGTTTCCCTCTAGTGGTGGGCTTGGGCCGTTAGAGTTTAGTCGAGTTATGTGGTAGATATTATGTTGGCTAGTCACGTCTGTAACGCGTGTATCAACCACGATTAATCCGACTACTCATACTTGTATGTGCTTAATTCATGAGTAAATCATTATCGCGAGATATTTGTTTCGGTTTATGTTATGGTTTCATTTTGCAACTGCCCACACAGAAGTTAGTGTATTAGAACAGAAAGGATTTGATTTGTTTTCTAATGTGAACATAGTCATTGGTTGTTGAGGACTGCCCAATGCCAAACGTAAGCAAGTCAGGCTAAGTATGGACGGCAAGGAGGAGATAAGAAGGTTTCCATTTTCTATAAATTCTAAGACTTGCACCAAATTTTTATTAGCTTAGTTCAACGATTTGTTGTTCATTTTCCATTTTTACTCTTTTCATTTCAATGGGCAATTACATCTGTTATGTTTCATAAACCCAGTGATGAACTGCCATTCACCTTTGAAAAGATGTATGGATTCTCCACAGTTGATGGCTTTGTGGAGATAGTCGAAAGCTCGGCCGAGATGATCAAGTATATCGCAAATGAACCGTCAACTGGGCTTTTCTACATTCAACAGCATACAAAAAACGCCGTTCCCAACATTCTCAATATGAAGAATAGTGTGGCGAACACGTCTCGTGAATCGACTTTGCACACTGAAGATTCGGAGGATTCGATCACGATGTTGAGGTCGATGAAAGAATGTGGATTTCCCATTGCTGATGAGATGATTAGAGACATCAAAAAGTCTCTTGCTGTTATGTCAGCCAAACAGCCAAGAAGAGGCTTGATCCGTAGTACTTATGGTATGCAGCCACCAGGGAGAGTAAGCACTTGGAGGTCAGCCACTTGGGGGCGAAGTGTGGCCATTGCCCCGCGCGATGACGATGGTGGTGGCTATATTTCAACGGTGTTCAAGTCAGCTAGAGAAACAGCGAGCAACTTTAAGTGGCCACAGCTCGACATCGTGGAAGATCTTGCACGAGTCGAAGTTCATAAGGCTCAGCCAGAACCTAACCAACCATCAGTTCTATCAGCTAGTTCTAGTTCTTCACAGCCAGATATGGACAGCGACGAGCTGCCTCTGTCTTGTCAAGTGAACGATGTGTTGCAATGCGACGATCGGGTTGATGTTGGTTTGGACACTGATGTAGTTTCGGTGTCCGATCGTTTTGACGATTTCAGGGCTGATAAAGAAGCAAAATTGAAAGATTGGTTGGAAGGGTCTGGCAGCTTGAATGATATAAGAGATTTGAGCGCAGGGAAAGGGCATTAAGATTGATATTGATGCGTTATTTAACTGTAAAAATGATGACATAAAAACCACTCAAAATACACTTTAATTCCATCATTGAAGAGGTGTATTTCTATAGCTTTGTAATGTGATGGTATTGGATTAAGGATTTGAGTTGAATCGTACATAGAAAGTATAAAGCACGAGTTCGTACGGAAGTAAAATAAAGTGGCTGAATGTATTGAAAAATTTATCGTTCGAGTGATTCTAAATTTGAGAACTAAATAGTGTATGGACGATTTCTTAATAAGCCGGGAATATTGATGTCATCCGGTACTAAATCTGGATGTCAAATCTCGATTCGAATCTCCATGAGTTGCCTAATGTCACAATTGCACTTTTTTTAGGCAGCAGACTTTGCAATTGTGCAACACTCATTCCCAACACTAAGTGAGTCAAACCAATTTGTATTCGTGTCGCCTACGGTTGGACAAGGTATGCAATTGTGCAACACTCACTCCCAACACTAAATGAGTCAAACCAATTTGTATTTGTGTCGCCTACGGTTGGACAACGTATGCTCAAGCCTCTTACTATGTTTGATTGTGCAACGCTCACTCCCAACACTAAGTAAGTCAAACCAATTTGTATTTGGGTCGTGTACGGTTGGACAACGTATGCTCAAGTCTCTTACTTATGTTTGATTGTGCAACGCTCACTCCCAACACTAAGTAAGTCAAACCAATTTGTATTCGCGTTGCCTACGGTTGGATAACGTATACTCAAGCCTTTGACCCTATTTGAGAATAAGGTTTAAAAAACCAATTTGTATTCGCGTCGACTACGGTTGGACAATGTACACTCAAGTTTCTAACCCTATTTGAGAATAAGGTTTTAAAAAACGGGGCAAAATTTTTTTTGAAAGCAAGTTTGAAAGTAAGAATTCTAACCCTGTTTGAGAATAAGGTTTTAAAAAACAGGGCTGGGAGATTTTTGAAAGCGAGTTTGAAAGTAAGAATAAAGTCGGGTCTAGACGTGATTCCTTTTATACAAAATCAAGGGAGAGGTTGACTACTAGTTAGACCATCTATAATACAAGGCCTAAACATGATTTGTGGTACAAACAGAAAATACAACATGAAATTAAATAAAGGGTTCGACGTGGCATGAGCATACAACCACAGGTAACACACATTGGACGAGCATAACCGTGATACTTAATAGTAGCAACACCTTCCAGTCCAGAGCCGACCACACTCACACTACGCTTAGATGGTTCGACAGGAATCTCGTCTTTGATCGTACAAGAAAAATACCCATGTGAAACCAAATAATTATAAGGCGTATCTAGTAAAGTATGGCCATGATCAATAAACATCTAGAAAATGGAAAACGAGATAACGTAAATATAACAATTTAATTATATAAATATTATTAATTGCCAACATAAATGTTAAAGTCGAAGTTTCAATAATAAAAAAAAAAAAAAGTAATATTAGTTTATTTATTAAGACGAACCCAAACCGTAAATACCACCAATAACTATATATATAACGCTTTAGGGTAAAATCGGCGGATCAACTCCATTTGCCTTCTTCATCACCGTTTCTCTGATTCTGAGCAAAATCAGAGCAATAATTCAACTTCTTCTCTGTCATCAGCATTCCGTAAGAGTTCTAGACTCGGCCCATCTCCGTCGTCGGCCGACGAATCAGCCCATCCAACCGCCGTGGCACTCAATCTGTAATCTCTCGCTCTCTTTCTTGATTGGGTTGTGCAGTGTCAATTGGTTCCCCTTCTGCGTCCATTAAAGCTGTCGGTTTCCGTGCTAGCAACATATTTCTGGCTGAATTATTTCTCTGTCTCTCATTGTCCTGCGTGATCTTATTTCTTCAGTCTTCCACATTTGGTCTATGTCTCTTGGTTAAGGTGTGTTCTCTTGATCTCGCTCAAGGTTGTTTCAATTATGTTGGGTTTAATGGGCGAGGATGCTGGTGATTTACATTTTGTCGGTATTTGATTGATGTTTTCTGAGAATTCTAACGCGGAGTCTGGTTTTTGGTTTCTGGGTGTATTTATTATTTTTAATGGTTTTAGTTGATGCAATCTGGTTTTTGGTTTCTGGTTGTATTATTAATTTTAATGGTTTTAGTTGATGCAATCATTTTTAATTTTTTTTGTGCGTTGAGCTTGCTATAATGCGTGTAAATATAGAAAATATAGGTCTCCGTTTTGCTTTCCCTCCCTTTGTGGTTGGTCATTGTCTACTGTAGTCTGCTGTACCTTTGGAATTGTGAAATTTACAGAGTGTTATTATTATTATTTCTGATATCCGTGGGTGGCCTAACTCCTACAACATTTGGCTGTCAAAAATTCGTAGGATTTTCTCTATAAGTTTGATCCCATTACAAAAAATGCTCATGTTAAGGAGGTATTTTGTCCTTAAATGGTTCAAGGTTTTACTATTTGTAAATTTAATTTAATAAATGAAATTAGTTTCTCAAATTAATTTCCTGCTGCATATTGTTATTTCCTGTAGATTTGCTTCTCAAGGGGGAGAGGAAAATTGTTATAATAGGTTGTTTTGCCCTTTCAGCTTGGTTTCTAGAATTAGTTGAATGACTTGAGTTGCAATTTAACAATTACCTGTTTGCTCTTTTCTATGTAAAGGCTTGAAATTTGAATTTTTTGTGATTTGACAGTCCCTCAAAATGCCTGCATTGGCCCAATTCGTTTTAGGAATGTTATTTGTGAATACTCTGCTGTTTTTCTTTAGTTCGTTGTTATAATAGGTTGTTTTTCTCTTTCAGCCTGGTTTCAACAATCAGTGAATGAGAGCTCTAACGATTACCTGCTTGCTATTTTTTAGGCAAAAGATTGAAATGGGAATTTTTGATGGCTTGCCAGTCCCTCCCGAGAAAGCAGTGAGTCCTCTTTTAGACGTGCATTATCATGTAGTTTCTTGGTCTATATGAGCTATGGTTCTTCATTCCTTCCACGATTTTTTATAATTGTCCATCAATTTTATCTTTATGTTTTTCCATGTCCAAATAAGGAAAAGTTTTTAACTCCATTGCCCCCTTTCCATTTCCACCTTTCTCTTTCAGTTTCAGTTTCAATTCAAAAAGGAAAAAAAGAAAGAAAAAAAAAAAAAAAAAAAGAAAAAAAAAAAAAAAAGAAAAAAAAAAAAAAAAGAAAAAAAAAAAAAAAAGAAAAAAAAAAAAAAAAGAAAAAAAAAAAAAAAAGAAAAAAAAAAAAAAAAGAAAAAAAAAAAAAAAAGAAAAAAAAAAAAAAAAGAAAAAAAAAAAAAAAAGAAAAAAAAAAAAAAAAGAAAAAAAAAAAAAAAAGAAAAAAAAAAAAAAAAGAAAAAAAAAAAAAAAAGAAAAAAAAAAAAAAAAGAAAAAAAAAAAAAAAAGAAAAAAAAAAAAAAAAGAAAAAAAAAAAAAAAAGAAAAAAAAAAAAAAAAGAAAAAAAAAAAAAAAAGAAAAAAAAAAAAAAAAGAAAAAAAAAAAAAAAAGAAAAAAAAAAAAAAAAGAAAAAAAAAAAAAAAAGAAAAAAAAAAAAAAAAGAAAAAAAAAAAAAAAAGAAAAAAAAAAAAAAAAGAAAAAAAAAAAAAAAAGAAAAAAAAAAAAAAAAGAAAAAAAAAAAAAAAAAAAAAAAAAAAAAAGGAAAAGCAAAAGGTCTTTGATGCGAACATGTATAAGATCATATTGGTGTACAGAAAGATATTTGGAGGTTTAATTTGTGTTTGAGTAATTGCTTGTAGCAAGTTCTATTCTCCTTCTGTACAGCTGGAAAAGTTCATCGATTAATAGCTTGAATCGTATTCTTCTCGTGATATTTAAATTACTTGGGATTCTTTTCCTTCACACATCATAAATTTTTTGTACTTGTATTATATTTTCTTTTCTTTTTTTCTTTTTTTCGCTCCTCTAGGAGTTTGTGTCTTTGAACATGTTGTCTTTTCCATTAGTCAATAAAATTTTGTTTCGTGTTACAAAAAAACTTGTAGCAAGTTTTAGAATATGATTAATTCTCCCGTACTTTTGATCCTGTGCATGTTGACTTGAGGTAGTCTTCTGAAGCAATGTGCAAATTCAACTCTTAAAATACTTCCTGGTTGTACGATAAAATGCAATGATTGAGAAGAATTTATTTAAATCAAGACATTTCAATCATGTAATATGAACTTCAAGGAAGATGAGTTTCATTTATTCTTAGATGGTTACGAATTGTGGGTGGATGATAATCAATAGTTATGGTGTTTTAATGTATTTTAAGATTTTTTATTTACTTCAAGGTTGCATTTACATAGTGACTAATTATGGTCATAAAGTATGAAGACTACCACTTTTCCTCACGGAAGGTCAAGGGTTTCATTTTGAGGCTACATAAAACCATGTATGTTGTCTTTGTAAAGTAGACTTGAAAAGTGTTGTAAAAAGAGCATTTGTGTTTTATTTTAGCCAAAGGCTAAGTTTCTATGCAATTCTATGTAGTCTAGGTTACATGTTTAGAATCATCAAGCTTGACTTGATCGATTTTGTTTGTGGAGTGATTGGAATCTCAAACAAGTGTTCTTGCCTTGAGATATTTGATCAACAAGGTAATTTGAATCTTATTTTCTCTTAGGGTGATTCCTTATCATTTTGAGGTTCTTGGATGTATTTAGATCTAAAAGTCTCAATAAGGTTGTTAAATCAAATTCTCAAGAGTTGCAACCATTTGGAATGAAATCAAATTGATTTGGGGGTTTTAGCATTTGTGAACTATGGGTTTGCATACCCATGGCATTTATGAGGGTTCTTAGATTCAACTGGCTAGTATGAAGGGTCATTGTCGCTAGTTAATATGGAGCTTCCAACAAGGACTGGATTCTTCTACCAAAATCCAATAACCGATACAAGGGGTCATGGGTTCCAATTACAAAATGCTGTAGGAAAGCCAAGAAGTCGAAAAATTTGAAGTTGGAAGAGATGACATTGTGTTTTGGAAAGGGGTCTTTCATAGGCTTTATATGGTGGAAAATTAAAAGATTTTCTCACCTCCCAATGCTGGTCAGTATCTTCTGCTTGATGGGACCTCAAATTTAGAAGGAATTATACTGAGCTGGAGATCCTTAAACTAAATAACTACTTGTTTGTCACAAATAAAATAGTTCATTTTTGAAAGGAATCTAATCCTCAACGATAGAGAAGACTGCAAAATGTGGACTGTTCAAGAAGAAGGTAAAAGTCCATGGTCAAGCTAGTTAAGTAGTACCTCTGACGTTATCAGCTGCTCCTCTGTTGACCTGATCTGGAAGTCTAAAATCCCTAAGAAGGTAAAATTATTTCTATGGAATTCACTCTGTTGAAACTAAACACTTACAACAGAATGCAAAGAAGAACGCCAAATTGGTTTGTCTCCTTTTTGGTTTGTGATGTGCAAAAAAAAGATGGGGAAGATAGTCAGTATTTGCTGTTCTTCTTCTCATTTGCTGCAAAGTATAGGTATAGGATCCTCAAAACATTCAATTTGTCATGTATCTTTCCCAAACACAGTTCGGTGGTTTGTTACAGATTATCTAGGGAACCTACATTGGTGGTCTTTCCAGAATTTTATGTACAATGCAGTGGCGGCCCTTTGAAAAATATGGAATAAAAGGAGTACGAGAACTTTTCGAGAGGAGAAGCTTTTAGGGATGGCTTTTGGAACTTCGTCAAGTTTCCCTCTTCATCTTGGAGCTCCCCAATAATGAATATTGTAATTACAGTTTTTCGTTGATGTATGCCAATTGGGAGTCTTTTATGTAATCCATTGGCTTTCAGGAATCTCTCATCTCCTCTTTTTGTATTTCCCATTGTGTTTTCTAAAATTATTAATACATGTCTTGTTTCATATCAGAAAAGTCAAAATTCAAAATTAATTACAATATTCAATTTGGAAGTCATGTAGTGACCCTTGCATTCTGTGTGGCAACCCCTCTTCTTTCATTATGATTTCTTTTCTTTGAGGGGTGGCAAGTGGGGTTATGAAGCAACTTGTAGTAAGTATCGAGGAGAGTGCGAGAGCTTAAAAGAGAGGCAGGCATCTTCCCAAGCAGTTGTATAAAAAACACATACAATCAAGGCTAATTAGATAAACTTAGTAATTATAAAAAGGCTTAGTAAAGGCTCGAACTATATACTGCGCTTGTACTAATATGTCCTCCCATATTTGGTGCATTCAGAGAGAAGTTGTTTGCAGAATGTTTATTTATTGACTTTATCATGGATTATTTTCCTAGTCGTTTTGCTGATGTACTTTCATCTTTTATTTTCTTAATTGTATTTGATATTGTAAGTAGTTCTTGGCTTTCTATGTGGGATTTGTTGCTCTCCCTTCTGGTATATCCATTCCTTTATTTTATCCATGTGTGTTTTCCATTCTGAGTAAAGAAAAGCATAAGACATACTTATTTGATACTACCTGAACATTTAACTACCCAACTGATGAAAATTTTCTAATTTTCCTAGCTAGCCTTCTGCTGAAATGATTTTTTTTTTTCTCTTGAACTGTATATGACTTGGGAGCCCAGTTTATTATATATATGTGTGTGTGTATATATATATATATATATCTGAGAGGAATAGTTTTGTTTAATATCAACCATCGAAATTGACATTTTCCTTGAGGACATATGCAAATTATCTTTCTATTTGTGTATTTATGTTAAATGCAGTATTTGAAGAATGAAATTGCAAGAGTAGATGAGAGTTGGGCTGCTGCACGGTTTGACTCACTTCCTCATGTTGTTCATATTCTAACATCTAAAGATCGTGATGGGGAGGCACAAATTTTAAGGGAGCAGAATGATGTTATTGAGGAAGTTGTGGATGAAGTGGTGCATACTTTTCACAGTGGTTTCAACAAAGCCATTCAAAATTACTCGCAGGTCTATTTAGACTTTTTTTTTTTACCTGCATGCTCCCTCTAATCCCTGATTTGTTGATAATCCTGAGTCATATTTTCTTTTAGCTGAACCCATCAGCAGCATAGAGATTTCCTTGGTCTAATAAGTATCTCGTTTCATTCATTAAAAAAATATCCAGTGTAATGATACTGGATTCTCCATGATTCGTTTTGTTGTAGAGCTCTCTGTAATTCGTTATACAATGCTTCAGAAGTTATTCCCCTGCTGTTTTGTATTTGTCGTAGAATTCTCCATAATTCGCTATAAAACTAAATCTTGTTCTAGGCTTTTCTTGCTGAGTGATGATGTAGGATTGACTGGGTGTAGACGATTTTTTAATTTTTTAATTTGATTTTTTTCCAGATATTGCGGTTATTTAGTGAATCTGCCGAGAGTGTTTCAATTTTGAAGGTTGATTTAGCTGATACCAAAAGAAGTTTCAGTGCCCGCAGTAAGCAGTTGCATCAGCTATGGTATCGTTCGGTTACATTGCGTCACATAATATCCCTTCTAGATCAAATTGAGGGCATTGCTAAGGTATGCCTCTAATTTTCTGGTTGTAAATGTGTACATCACCAACAGCATAGGAAAATCAACCTACTCAAAACAGGTGTGTCGAAAAAAATCTGTGCCCCCACTCCTTCCAAAATCCTCTCCCCTCTTCTGTTTTCACTTGCATCTATCCATCCGTTCTTAGCTTCCAACCAGATGATTATTAGCAGATTGTGCTTTGAAGTAATCATTCTTTTGAGAAATCATTTCCTATAAGGTTAGTTACTTGTTTTGTTTTGCATTTTGCGATATATGAGATTAAGAAGCTGTTGTATGTAAAATACATACTTTTAAGAATTGGTTGGTTCTCGGTCAGGGAAATTCGAGGTTGTTGTGTAGGCAACACTTTTTAAAGGTTTTGGTCTCAAGATGACGTTTTCTTTATTGAAGAAATGAAGCATAATTTGAGAATTCCTCTTTCAATCTCCCATGTACGTTGGTTTGAAAGTTCTTTGGTAGATTTCTTGCAGTCACCTGTGCATTCCAAATTCTTAAAGCAAGCAGAGATGAAACTGGTATTCCGCGTCTGGAAAAGCAATAAGTTCTCTCTTGGATAGTTTATAGTGTGTTGTTAGCGACCTTTGGGTGGAAGGAAGTTGATTCACATAAAAGCTGGTCTATTAAAAAAAGGATGGCTGATCTTTTTGGGAAATGCTAAAAGATTTCCTTGGAAAGTTCGATGGACGTCTTCAGTTAGATTCATCGAAGTGTTTGTTTGATGCACCTATGACTTCGTCTAGCTCTTTTGTTGGTAGTGTTGAAGGAAAAATCAAATCATTGCAGTTATATAGAGGTTGATGGATACACATTGTTCACGGCTTACCTCAGAAAGAAATTTAAGAGGTACCTCCTTTGGGTTGAAATGCTAAAGATGTGACAAATATGAATTTTGTGATTTGATGGTGGTGTCCAGATGATTTGCTCACAATTCTTGGAAAAAATCAAAGATGCTTTGGAATAGTATTTCCAAGTTAAGGTATAGATCAATCCATTCATGGCTGATAAGGCTTTATTGAAGTTGGATCATGTATTGACAGGACACGTTTTAATGGAAAATGAAGATTAGTTAGAGATTTCCATTTAAAACAAAAAAATTGGTCGAGAGGAAGCATATTCATCTAGATTTTGCAGAAGGATATGGAGGTTGGACCTCTATAAACAATTTACCTTTCACATATTGGGAGCTCAACACGTTTCAAGCAATTGGTGGATATTTTAGTGGCGTTATTAGTCTTTCTTCTAACACATCATATGACTGATTGTTCTGTAGCTTGTATTGAAGTCAAAAGGAACACTTGCGGTTTTCTTCTTCCCTAATCTGGAAAAATCAGCTTTTAATGAAGATGTTCGGGAGGAATCATGTTCTCGGCTTCTAATAACAATGCCAAATCAAGTCCATTCTTCAGCAAATGCGAATCAAGTATCCTCGGAAAATTGAGCTCCCAACATCCGATCACAATTAGATTTCTCCCTTCTTAGTTCAAATGTTGTTTTAACTAAAGGTGTCTTTGCCTCTTCCAATTTTTGCAGGTTCTCATGCGCTTTCATTACATTTTGATTGATTTGGATGGGAAATCTAACGTTAGTTTATGTAGTGGGGGACAGTCTCTCAACTCTTGGAACCTCAGAATTTTGGGGCTAATAATGACTGTTTTTTGGAGGACACTTATGGAGAGACTTTTGGTCTTCTTTTTCAAGATAATGAGAGTGAACTTTTAGTAAAAATTCAGCTACTTGTAAAACTCTTCCGGCAAGTACTTCTCCTCCGCCGCCAGCAATTACAAGCAATTTTTCCTCTTTAATTAATATCGCCAGCAATTCCCAATTGATTTTTAAAATGTATTTGAGTTGATTATTGTGAGTTTCAACAGTAAAAGTTAAATTGTGGAAACTAAAGGATCTGAGGATCATTCTGAAAGAACAGCTTGAAGAAATTTATTCAGCTTCATTGCCCAATTTTGGTATTAATTCAGGAGACCAAGATTGCACTTTCTGACTGAAAATTGATCAACTTCTTCGATTGATAAGACTTCTTGTTTCAAAAGAATGAGATTAGTTGTTTGACAATTCAAGGGTATCAATAGAATCTCGTATTTTTTCTGACCATTCACCTTTACTTTTGGAAGCTGGAAGTTTAAATGGAGCTTTGCATGTTTCGGTTTTTATATTTTGGTTGTTAGGGGCGGAGGTCAAATCTGGTTTTAAGTGGCCTTTCCTTGGGGAAATTATTGGAATTTATTTGCGTGAACATCTCAAAAGGTGTTCAATATAGCATTTATTTTGTCATTTTCCAGTGGTTTTAATATTCTGATTGGTTCTGAAATAAAATTCCGATTTAAGTGGCCTTTCACTGAGGAAGTTATTACGGCTTATTTTAATGACGTACCTTTAAAAGCTGCCTCGCTGGATGAGCTAGTGCCTGAGAAGTTTTTAATAATGCGTGAAGCATGTATAGTTTTATTATTCCCAGGCTGAGCTCTATTTGGTTGTAATTGCCTCTAGGTTCTTGATTTTTCTTTTTATTTCTCTATTTTAACTCCCTTTGGGAGTTTGTATCCCTTGAACATTTCCTTTTCATTATATCAATGAGAAGTTGTTTCTTGTTAAAAAGAAAACAAAAATGTTTTTATCACCAACAGTGGTTATCTGAAATCTGTAACTTGTTGAAAGCATATTATGAACGTGATCTTATGTTATAAATCATAATATTCTACCTTTGAAGGTCTTCTATTAAAAAAGGTGTTCAATTTTAGTCGAAAACTGTTGTCTTCATTCTGAATAGTTGTGGATAACATTATTTTCTTCTGAAACTTGTCTCAGGTTCCAGGGCGAATTGAAAAACTGATTGCAGAAAAGCAATTTTATGCAGCAGTTCAGCTACATGTTCAATCTGCATTAATGCTTGAGCGGGAAGGGCTTCAAACTGTAAGTTCACTCAGAAAACTTTACCTCCCAGCTTTTCTGGTGCCCACGGGAATATTTATGTTCATCACTTCCTTTCTGATGTGACATTACTCAGTGTTTGGTGGGAAGAATGAGAGGAGTGAAAAGGGATAGAGAGAAAAAGGGAGGAGAGAGTGGGTAAAGGGAGTTAATTTCTGTTACTTTATGAGAAGTGAACTGGATTAGGGGATAGTATCATGATTTGAAAATCTGAATCTAGGATTTAATAGAGTTATGCTCATTTCTTCCATCCCCCTGTTAGTTCTATTTCAACTTAATGGTCCAGAAGTTCCTCTTTTGGTTCCTCATGTTCACACATATAGTTGTTATTTCTAGTACTTGAAGGCTGATTTGCTTGTTCTATTGAGATGACACCAATTCACATGTAGGTTGGTGCACTTCAAGATGTACGATCGGAGTTAACGAAATTACGGGGAGTTATTTTTTATAAAGTTTTGGAGGATTTGCATGCACATCTTTACAATAAGGGTGATTACAGGTATTTCATTTATTTCTGTTCTTTTTTTGTTGGTTTGACGTCAACTTATTTGTAACTAGCATTACCTTGTGACTTGTGTTAATTTGTGAGTTGCAAACCAAATGATGGCATCATTACCGATTCTTCCTCCTTTTTTACCTACCCTTGTGGGTGTTTGTGCTGTGTATATATGATGGAGCTACTGGTCATTGATACTTTCTCCAGTTGTTGGCTGTGGTTCATTTTTTTTCAATAAATAAATGAATTATTTGTTTATTATTATTTCTTTAAAAAAATCAAGTTTTCATTGAGAGAAATGAAAGAATATACAAGGGTATACATAAGAAAAGTCCATCAACAAAAAAACACCTCAAATACTAGAACAAAATTCAATAATACAAGAACAAAATCCAATATTGAAGAATGAAGCCAAGCTGATACCACCTACAAAAAGTTCCATTAATAAACACTCACAAAGGTGAGTTGAATCTAGTTGCCTCCCAAAGCTCCTAACTTGATCTTTCAACCCTTCTAAAGATTCTACTATTCCTTTTAAGCTAAATGCCCTACAATATGGCAAAGAAGCAAGCCTGACACAAGACTATTTATGTAAAAAAAGGAGGGTTCAGAAGAACTTCCTTAAACATAAAGAAATATCCTCTCTACAAGCCCTAACAACTTTGAAGGTCTTGAAAAAATTACTCCAAATGAGCAAACAGAAGGGCACTCCCATAAGATGGTTGAGGTCCTCCCTTGCTTCTTGCAATAACACACCATCGCGGCTAGAGTTGACGAAATTACTACATTTATCTATATTACTAATAAAGACAAAATTATGAATTTAATCTTAAAAAGATGGAAATGAAAAGTACGTTACAATTTGTTGTAAATTCTAGTCAAAGTGCAATATTGTAATTTTGTGTCTTAGGATTTTATCTTCTTTTTATTTTGTATTCTCTTTGGTATGTGTTAAGATTTTGTGTAGAGTAAAAAATATTTTTATGAGAGTTGTCGTACCTTGTATTTATTCTGATATTTTGTATGGTTGACATTTGAATAAAATTCCAGAAACTTTATAGTATCAGATAAGGAGGTCTTGAGATTGAACGCTGTAATGTCATCTCAACCCGGTCTTGAGTTTGAACCCGTAATGTCATCCCAACCCCGTCTTGAGTTTGAACACTGTAATGTCATCCCAACCCCGTCTTGAGTTTGAACCCTGTAATGTCATCCCAACCCCATCTTGAGTTTGAACCCTGTAATGTCATCCCAACCCCATCTTGAGTTTGAATCCTGTAATGTCATCCCCAACCCCTGCGATACCATTTCATCCCCAGTTAACTCCAATTTCTACTTAATGGGTCTTCTACAAATTTTCAAACCCACTAGTGAGGGAGAGTGATGGAGTGTTGATATAATTAAATTTTCCACAACCTATCAATTTACGCTTTTGAGTTATGGTAAATTTATCATAGTTGCCGCCGCTCCCGTCATTACTGCTGTTGGAGCCCAACTACTGTTGTCAACTTCCTCTCCTCTGATTCCCTTGTGACGATCTTCTCCTTTTGAGCTCAGATTGCGAAATTATGAACTTTCTAAAATTGTGAAATTGTGAGAATTCATGATTGATGCTGACTCACGATTAAGACACTCACGTTTGACTTTGATGCCAACTCCTCCATCACCGAGCATGTTGTTTTTTCTTGAATATGTCATCTTCCAAATCAGTCGAACCAATCTCCAATGGTCAAGGGGGATATGATTCATCATCACTTGCCTATATCATAGGTCACAAACTGATTGGCCACAGCTGTATCTAATGTTCATAGTTAGTCATGATGTTCATATGTGGCAAGTATCTGAAATTCAGGAAGTGCAAAGTAGAAAATAACATGGCATATCGTGGTTAATTAATTCCATGACCAATGAGATGAGTGAAAATTTTCTTCTATATGGAACACCACATCAAATTTAGGACACCGTTAAAGAAACATACTCTAGTAAGGAGAACATTTCAAAATTGTTTCGAATAGAATCACGTGATTTTTGCCAAGGTGATCAATTTGTTGCTGAGTACTTTAGTACTCTCTCGTCATTGGCAATAACTTGATTTTATTTAAAGTCTATACATGGAAGTGTGCAGACAATACAACTCAAAACACGAAAAATTTTGGGCAATAGAGGACATCCAGAATTCTTCGTAGTTTAAACAATGATCTTGATGAATTTTGAGGTCTAGTAATGGGAACCAAGTCGTTGCCAACTCTCCGCAAACCTTCTCTGAAGTAAGGAGAGAGAAAGTAGGAAAAGTGTGATGGTGAGCAAATCAGAATTAGTCCCAACAATCTTGGAAGCCTCTATACTTGTCACTCATAGTTTTAACCTAATGGTACGATGTGGCAATAAGCAGAAACAAGAGAGACTTTGGTGTGAACATTGCAAAATGGTGGGTCATACAAAAAACACATGCGGGAAGATCTATGGGAAGCTTGCCAAAGGGACTGGAACAGGTTCAGTTAGATTACTCAAAATTTATATCTTAACACTATATTACATGGGCTAGATTGAGATTGTAATGTACTTTTAACCAGTAAATTGACGGGTGATCTTAAATTTGTGACTAAAATTTATCCGAACTTATATGTTTCCTCATGAGTTAAAATCGGGGAAGATGATTGGTTAGCAAATAACTTTTACTTTTTTGGAAATGGAAAACAAAAAATTGAAAACATAAAACAAAATGGTTATCAAACAATTATCAAACTGTCTCTTAATGTTCAAACTAATTCTTGATTTCACCTTCTTTATTGAATTTAAAGATTGAGACTTAAAAGGCGCATTACTCAATCATTGTTCTTAACGGCTTATTGTTGGTACAAACAATTGTGTGCTCAAACCATATTTGAGATAAACAAATGAGATGCTATTTTTATGTTTGCTATTTTTTTATTTTATGTAGAAATTCTTATCCTGTTTTTTATAATTATTATTTTTTTTTGTTACTCAATGAAATATTTGTTTTGTCCTAGTGGATTTCCTTTTTATAACTCAACTGATGGACTCTAGGTTATTTTTGCCCTCTCTTTTGTAATATTCTTTCTTCTCCGAAAAGAGAAAATAAAAAATCTACCCAGCCCTCAGGCTGTCCTTGTTGTCTGGTTTGAATACACATTTTAAATTTTCTTATAAAAAAACTGGCGAAGTATTTTATTTCTCTGAAAGTAAACTTTCCTTTTGGATTGTCATTTTTTATGAATCCCCTTTTTAATGCTTGGGAGCACCTTATCTCCTGTCATTTTTTATGTAACCCCACTTTTTGATAATGAAATGCTCGCTGTCACTCATCACAAAGGGAAGTTTGGAACGGCTAAATTCATTAAGGTGCTTTGGGATTTCGGCGACTTGAATTATGTCAGATCTCAGAATGCTGGCACCTTTGTTAGAGTAAAGAAAAATAAAAAAAGGAACCATGGGGCTGTGTAAACATATAGGCTAACATTTTGTTTTTGTTGATGCAAGTTTGCTACTAATCTAATACTTTTCTGCAGTTCAGCAGCCTCAAAGATGCTGGAAACGGACAATGAAGTATCAACTGCTGAAGCTATTGCTTTGGCATTGAATAGCTCACAATCTGTGTCTCGAAGAACGAGGTCACAGAGCAATCAGTTTGGCATTCATGTAGATAACGGGTAAGAGTTTCTGAAACTTCTTGAACTTTTTTTTCTCCTTGGGACTTCCTCATCTGTTGCTTTACTACTTTTACCTTCCCAATTGAAAGTAATGATTTTCCCCACGGTCTTGATTAGAGCTTTCTATAATTTATTTGTTCATTCTGTAAATTTGATATTTTTTCAGAAATCTTGATTTAGCCTATTTTGATGGCTACCACATTATGACTGATGTGGAAAATTACACTTCGTCATTGATTTCATAATCTTGAAAAATTTGTTTTATGTTGTCCTTGTTTCGTACAATGTAGTATTATTAATCAGTATGTTCTTGTGGGCTGCATTATTATTGTATTTGAAAGCTTACACTACATCACAAACTTGGTGGGGCTCACATAGAGTGAGGAAACATGACCGCCAAAACAATGAGCTACCTACGAAATCTCATTGGGTTACATTATAATTGAGAAAGTAGTATCTAAGGATTTATTTAGATTTATTGTATCTAGTATCTAGGGACTTAGTTAACTTTTTGTATTATAAAAAGGGCATGCACTTCTCTGAAATAATAATGAAATGTCAGGATAATTTGGACTTATGGTATTAGAGTTTTTTCTATTTTGAAAAATCTGATTATAACCAAGCCCTAATCCAATGGTGAAGCCTCCATAGCTACCGATCATCCACTATAATCAAGTTTCATTCGCAACCTTCCTTGCTGCCGTCAAAATCTTCATTTGACAAAATCGTCTGCCTTTATCACTCAAATCAGACTCTGTCTGTTCCACAAGCCCACCAAAGTTCCATCAAGCCCACCAACGTCCACCAATTGTTTGTGATCCATCCATTTGTGGGTTGTTTCATTCGTTTGTGATCCATCGGTAACACCATGCATACCAACGTCCACCAATCAACATAATCAAAATCCAGCAAACCCACCAAGCAACGTATCCTTTAACCCATCCGATTGTCGTACCGAATCACCATGCATACCAATGTCAACCAATCAACATAATCAAAATCCAGCAAACCCACCAAGCAACGTATCCTTTAACCCATCCGATTGTCATACCGAATCAACGGAAAAAACTTTCTCAAATTGTATCAAATCTAGCAGACATATCTTAGGGAAAATGAAAAACATCGACACCTCATTGGACCAGGACCGGCAAAGACAGGTCCTGGATTTACTGCATGGGATTAGCAAGACTTCATGATAATGTCATGGCTTTTGGATTCTATGAAGCCATCCATTAGTGGTACATGTATGTTTTTACGGAACACACAAGGCATATGAGGTTTCATTCATCACACTTACTCACCTACTCTAGGGCTAGAGATGCTGCTCTGATCTATGAAATCAAGATCATGACTGGAGCCATGAACCAAGAAGGAAAAATTGTCATTGAATGTCCCAATGCCTTGCCAATATTGTGCAGGAACTCGATTATTATCAGGCATTTAAGATGAATTGTTTTGTCGATAATTCTAAAACATTTTTTTTTTGAAGCAAATCGTGTTTATGATTTTTTGGCATGTCTTAACAACGAATTTAACCAAGTTGTGTACAAATCATTGGAAAAGAGGAAACACCATCTCTAGAAGAAACAATTTCCCTTATTTGAGCAGGAGAGAGCAAACGGTGCCTTATGCTTGAATAAATAACTCAGTTTAGAAGTACCGATTGTTGTCGTAGAGAAATATAGAAACAACAAAAGAAACTACCGATGGAAGAGTAACAAAGACAATTTATGGTATACTCATGACAAGAAACCACAACACACGAAGGAGAGTTGTTGAAAATTGAACGGGAACCTCCTAGCCATGAATGGGGAAATTGGGGAGGCTCACAGAATCGTTGTTCGGAAAACGAAGGAGAAATGTCACATGACCCCTCACTTATATAAATGCTTAAGAGATGAGTCAGGTTAATTCTTGGATTATAGATTTCGGTACAATTGATCACATGACCCCTCACTTGCTATATTTTAAAACATATAAATTGTGCCCGGGTAATCGAAAACTTACCATGACAAATGAAACCTGTGCCACCATTGCAGGAATAAGCGATAAATTCATTTCTTGATCCCTTATACTAAAAAACGTCCTACACGTCCAAAACTATCTAATATTCTCATTTCCATACTAAAGCTTAACCATGACAGCCATTGTGGTGTTATTTTCTCCTTGTCATATTGTGTTTTTCGAGATCAGACCTCGAAATGGACGATTAGACTTGGTATGGAATTGAATGGCCTATATTGCTTACAATTACCCGAGAGAACAACTAGCTCTGCATTTGTGTCATTTTTTAGCTCCTCTAATAAAGAAGTGATTTGATTACATCACTTTCTCATTGGTCATCCCTCCTTTCGAGTTTTGAGAATTATGTTTCCAGATTTGTTTCAAGGATTCCAAGTTTCTGGTTTTCATTGTGATGCATGCAAATTTGCCAATCGTGTATCTTTTTCCATTAGTCAACAAAAATTCTACTCCTTTTCATTTGATTCATAGTGATATACGGGGACCCTCAAAGGTTCCAAATATCTTCGGTGCTCATTGGTTTCTCTCATTAATCGATGATTGCACTCAAATCACGTCTATTCCTTCTCAAACAACAATCAGATGTCAGTAATATTATTCTTGCCTTCCAATCAATGATTTAGACCCAATTTAGAGTCAATATCAAAACATTTCGTCCTGACAATGCTAGATATTACTTCAATAAAACCTTGTCCTTATATTTTCGATCTCAAGACATTATCCATAATTCTTGGTGTGTTATTACACCACAGAAAAATGGAGTGGTCAAAAGGAAAATTGGATACCATTTAAACACTACCCGCTCATTGCTTTTTTCTTGGAAACATGCCAAAAACTCAGTGGGGAGAAGACATTTTTTTATTGCATCTCACATGATTAATCGTTTCCCACCTTGTGTCCTGAATAATCTAAGCCTAATAGAAGTCCTCAACTGACTTTATCCTCACTTTCAACTATCAAATGACCTCACACCTTGCATATTTGGGTGCACCGCCTTTGTTCATGTTCACAACACTTAGAGAAGTAAACTTGATCCAAGAACAATAAAATCTGTCTTTTTAGAATGTTCTTCGACATCAAGGGGTACAAATGTTACAACCCTACAACTAGGAAGTCTTACACTTCAAGTGACATTCACCAAGCATAAACCATTCTTCTCTAAACCCTCTCTTCCGGAGGAGAACATAGAAATTGAAGAGTCCTTGGGAAACTATTTAACTGCTAGACACACTAAATAACCAACACATAGAACCAACTATTGAGTCCAAGCCTGCTATCGATTTTAATTATGTGTCCACTCATACTACCTTAGAGCTACCATAGAGTTACCAACTGAACCATATGTACCACCTCCATTGTCAAATCCATTATTCTCTTAAATATATGTTAGAAGGAAAGTTAGTTAAGAATCGATGCAAGTCCAAACATCTGACTCCATTGAAATTGAAGATGCAACACATGTACTAATAGATGATAGACTCATAGCTCCTTGAAAACCCACTAGAGAATGTACAGAAGACTCTTATACCCTTTATCAAACTATATCTCTCTTGGAATACCATCCCCTTCACACAAAAGTTTTATTTAGTCTAAATTTAATTGTTATAACTAATACAATTTCTAAACCTTTGTCCAAAAAAGAATGGCAGAATGCTATGAGGGAAGAAATGCATGCTTTAGAAAAGAATAACTCGTGGGAAGTCATGGATAAGCCAAAAGGAAAAAATATAGTTGGGTTTAGGTGGCTTTTTATAGTGAAGTATAAGGTCGATGGAACGTTGGAAAAGTATAAGGCAAGGTGAGTAGCTTCTAGTGTATGTAGATGACATCATTGTCACTGTAGATAATGAAATGAAGAAGAAAAAATTGAACTTAGAAGGAAATTAATGAAAGAATGTGAAATAAGAGAACTTGGAAGACTAAAGTACTTTCTCGTTTTGAAGTAGCATACTCCACTCAAGACATTTTCATATTACAACAAAAATATGTGATGAATTTATTTATGGAAATAGGGAAATGTGGATGTAAACTTGCACCGATGCAAACGGATCCACATTAGAAATTGGGAGAGTAAAAAAGAGGAACCTGCAGCGAACAGAGAAATGTACCAGAGGCTAGTGGGGAAGCTTATATTATCTAACTCATTCTTGACCAGACATAACATACTCAATGAGTGTAATTAGCCAATTCAAGCATGATCTCTAGAAGCCTCTTCAGGCAAAGTATAGAGTGTTACTTCAAAAAAAGGATTTTTGTTCAAATGAAACAATTTTCTTGCATTGGAAGCTTACACCGAGACTGACTATGTTGGATTGGTAGTGGATAAAAGATCTACTACGAGGTATTATACATTTCTTTGAGGTAATTTGATAACATGGAGTAAAAAACAAAATGTGGTGGCTATTTCATTTACCGAATCAGAATTTTGAGCTATTGCATAAGGTCTATGTGATCTCTTATGGTTGAAGATAATCCTTGATAACTTACAAATTAAGGGAATCAACTATCAATATTGCACATTATCCTATTCAACATGATAGAATAACATATATTAAACTTGATCGACATTTTATCAAGGAGAAACTCGACAAGTGGATAGTGTGCATTAGTTATTGCCCTCATAGCTTCAACTAGTAGATATACTAACAAAAGGACTTCACGGCTCAATGTTTCATGCATTAGTATTCAAGTTGGGAACGAATGATATCTATTCCTCAGCTTGAGGGAGAGTGTTGAAGGAATAACCTTGATTTAATGATTATTTGAGTAATTCCTAGCCTTAAATTGAGAGATACTTGTGTAATCTCATTAAATAAGGAGAGTAGTATTTAGAGATTTATTTAGATTTATTGTACCTAGTATCTAGGGTTTTAGTTAACTTTTTGCTTTATAAAGGGGGCATGGACCACTATGAAATAATAATGAAGTGTAGCAAGATAATTTAGACTTGCAACATTATCGTTAGGGCCTTCTTTCACATCATCATATGCAAAGACTGGTCGCTTGTCTGCCATTCCATAGACCAAGCAATCTATCCTTCAATCTAGGGTTTTCTTACACAATATCATTTATTAAACTTTTTTAGGATTGTAAAATTGCATTTAGATGAACAAAGATCATTAATATGTGCCCCTATCATTATAATGCAACATTAATTTTCTGAATTAAATGTTGCTGATATCCATGAAAGAATGATGTTATTTTCATTTATTTTGTCTTGCCTTGTTTCCAGGTCATCGTTCGATGGCCACGAGGAAGGTAGTATTTCGGATTTAAATGATGATGCCTCAGACAGTCAGCCAACTTTTGCAAGGGTCAATGGTGGAGATGGTGGGTTGAAGGAGGCGAAACCGACTACACGTCAATTGCCAAAATGGCTTTCAAATTCCATTCCAGATGAATTTCTAGTATGAAATATTCATTATCTTATCATTTGTAAAAAGGATAAGAGCTTTCTTGTCGGCTTACAGTTTGATCCTATAACTTTTCCCTCGACTCCGTGGCTGAATTTCTATCAACTTTTGTAGGAAACAATAAAGAAGCTTGATGCTCCGCTTCATGTTAAGTATTTGCAGACCATGATTGAGTGTCTGTGTATGCTTGGCAAAGTTGCTGCTGCTGGTGCTATCATATGGTTTGTTTCTTGTCCAACTCTTAATTTGATGCTTTTGCATTAGCAGCATGTGAAAGAAATCCTACTATTGCTATTATTGCAAATCTTTTCTTAGGAGTTTGGTTTTTTTATTTTAATATGTAGAAATATCAACACGAATATTAAAAAAGGGAAGCCCCTCGGGGTTACAAAAAGGCTCTCTTAAATTGGTATCAAAGGTCTCTTAAATTATTATAAAAGAGTCTTAACTATAAGGTGAAAAGTCTACCTTTTCTTTATCTCGGTCTTCCTTTAGGTGGTCATCCTAAGTCATCATCCTTTTGGCAACCTGTGATGAATAAAATTCTCAAGAAGCTCGATAGATAGAAGTATTTTAATCTATCACATGGTGAGCATTTAACTCTTCAACTCATTTCTATCTACGACTGACAATAAAAATAGAGCTCTCCTCACCATATGGCTTTGGCAGTTCCATAACTCCGGCTCAGGTCTCTTGGAAAAAGTTCATTAAGTGCCATTACAATCTGCCCAACCTTAGTCGTGTGTTCAAAATTGTTCATACTTTGTCCAAAGGGTGTCTTCACTCAAATGTAACAATCAGCCTTGTTGTGGTCTCCCCCCATACAGCTCAAGTAGTTGCCGTTCAACAGAAAATTGGGTGGAAATATGATTCTAATGGATTTACAGTCAAGGTGAGTTAGTTGATGGGTTTAAGGTGGGAGAAAGTTACCGTTATTATTTTTTCTATAGCCAAATCAAATAGAGGATTGTCGATCAGGTTTTTCTCGAGTAATCTAAGAGCAAATGTCACCCTTACGAGAACTAGATACTGTTCATGGATATGGAACTTCAAAACACTATCATATAATAGTTCGGTTTGGGAATATTTAGTTATTGATGCCCAACACCGTGGCTGTTTCTTCAATGTTGATGCTAGTTTCATATTAGAAAATGTCAAACATTTTGTTCCGCCATAGGATTACAAGAGTTCTTAATCAGACAATTGAAGCCAATCAAGCGACAAAGAAGAAAAAAGTAAAGGTACACTTTCGATAGTCTCATGGTAATGAAATCAAGGGATGGTTCTAAATCTTATTTATAGCGTGATTTTTGGTTGGGCTCTGGTTACCTTGATCTCAAATTCCCTAGACTCTTGCATTATCCTGTCACTAGGACATCAACACTTGTGAGTTTCCTTAAGAAGGCATATTAGAGGCCGAGATGCCAGCCGACTGGAACACTTTTACCGCCATCCTTCAGAGAAACAGGCCCTAACCTGACCACCTGGCTTGGATTCTAGAGAGATGACATTTCTCTGTCAAATCTTTGGTGGAACTCTCAACTAATGAACAATCTCTGCCCCACTTTTGCAGGACTTTCTGGACTGCAAAGCTCCCCCAGAAAGTGTAAAGCTTTCCTCTGGTCTTTTTTTTTGGGTGCTATCAACACCGCATATAAACTTCAAAAGAAAAATCCCACTAGAGCTCTCTATCCCATTTGGTGCTCCTTTTCCAAGCGTAGTTGGGAGGATATGAAGCACTTGTTCATATCCTGCCCATTCGCTTCCCAGTTTTTGTCTTCCTACTACAAAAATTTCAACATTCCTTGGATCTAGCATGGAGAATTTAAGGCTGCTATGTCCACGTACTTTGTGGCTTCTTTCTATTGGTGCTATTTGGCTAGAAAGAAACAGGCATGTCTTTTTGTGGCACAGAGCACTCCTTTAATCAAAGGAATATGTCAACTTGTTAACTAGTTTACGGCTCCATGGGCTTTCATATCAAAATTATTTTGTAATTGTCCTTTTACTTAGATTCAAGCAAACTGCCAGTGCTCTTATATAAGCTTCCTCTGCTTGTACTATTTGCCTCTTATCAGTAATAAAAAGAACTTTATTTTTTTATGTAATTCTCCATCTGGTTGCCTAATTTTTTACTAACTCGTTTACTGTTTACTGTACAGCTAGTATAATTGGGTACTAGTTGGCAGGATTAAAGTTGGGATATAATTCAGGACAAGAGAATTTTAATATGGTAAAATTGTTTCAGATCTATCCTTTAGATGAACGTTCATTTTGCAATTTTTTAAGAGTTACATTTTCTAGAATCTTAATCTTTCGGAAATCGCTTCGAGTCTATTGCTTCAAGGCATATTCTTACTCTTTCTCCAGAGCTTGTTTGTTTTAATTAAGGCTTTTATTTCTTTTACATGATTTAATGTATTGTGCCTGGAAAAGCACTAAATCCGTTTTTGTATGATTCCAATTTGTTTGATATATCAACTTCTTTAATTTTTTTCTTATCTGACAGCCAAAGATTGCGACCTACGATCCATGATATAATAACTTCCAAAATCAAAGCTTATGCAGAACAAATAAATTCTTCAAGGTTAGGCTTTGGTCAGGCTGTTCGATCTGAGACTGCTGCTCATTTTATGAAGGGGCAGTTAGGAAGCTTCCATTTACCAAAACATAAATGCCAGAATGGCATTCCACTCGCTGGGACATTGGTTGCAGTGAGCCCTGTTTCACCAGTGATGGCTCCTATGGGAAAAGCACAGACTTCTGCAAGAGATCTTCTTGATTCTGTTTTGGAAACTGTTGTTCGTATATTTGGTCAGGAAATTTTTTTCATATTTTTGTCTTTCCTTCTCCCTATAATGCTCAGTTTTAACTTTCAACAGTGATCATGCAGAGAACCATGTTGTTGTTGGGGAGCTTCTGGAAGCAAAAGCCTCGCGACATGCAGATATGAATACACCGAGGTCAATGCCAACTGATGATAATTGGAATCCGGACTCTGAAGCATCTCAAGTCACTGGAGGTTATACTATAGGCTTTGCCTTCACAGTTTTGCAGGTATTCCTGTAACTTTACCCTCCTTTTCTGTCACTCCCTCTCTCCTTCTTTAAAAAACAAAGTGAAATTATAAATTAAGGGAAAAAAAGGCCAGAGCCAACACCAATCGACCTAGACGGACAAAGGGACAAGGTGATATTCTCCAAAGAAGTATATGGGTCAAAAAAAGGTACATGATGACCTTCTCCAAAGAAGTACATGGGTCAAACAAAAATCCTCCCGTCTAGGTTGATGGTGTAAGTTGAGTAATTACATAAGAATTTGCATTGAGTACGACAATTCAGGGCGTGAATTGTATAAGTTCACATAGTTGTGAATTTATCAACATCCACCCACGTGTGCCTCTCCCCCTTTAAAGTTGAAGGTTCTCCATTAACCATTTAATTGTTTTAATTTATGGTCAGATTTAGGGCAAACTTGTATTTTGTATTTTAGGATTTTATCTCCTTATTTAGGTATGTTTTAAGATTTTTGTTTAGATTTGACTATTGTTTCCGTTTATGATAGTTGTTATGCCTTGTATTTATTATGATCTTGGTATAGTTTGAAATATGAATGAAAATACTAAAATTTTCATGCTATGAGAGCACCAATAAACTCTAGATTTTTTTATAACTTTTCGTTGGTGTTGTCTTTACCTCCATCGCTTGTTGTAGCTCCCATCTGCCTAAACAAATTGCAACTGCAGCAATTGCTTTGGAATTCAGGAAGTGGAAAGTAGAAATAACATAGTCATGTCGTAGTTAATTAATTTCATGACCAATGAGATAGGTGAAAGTTTTATTCTCTTGTGAACAACTCATAAGATTTGAGACGCTATCAAAGAAACATGCCGGAAGATCCCTGGGAAGCCTGTTGATTGGAAACCACAATGATCGAGATGGTAGGGCCTATGTAGCTAATGTAGCTCCTTATAGTTTTAAGAACAAATAAACACACAATACAGTGTGCAACAATGGTTGCACAAGGGATTCTCCACCTTATCTCTTGTGTTGACACTCCAAAAGAATGGAGTAGTTGAACGCAAGAATTGTCATCTCCTTGAATTCACTCGATGCTTGATGTTCTCTACTCATGCTCCTTAATTCTATTGGATGAAGTCATTCCCTCTTGTGTTCCCTCTTGTGTTCTTAGATTCTCCACTCCTGGTCAAGTCTTCATTCAATCATTTTCCCATCTTCATGTCCAGTCTCTTGTTGTGGTCCCTAATGTTTTCAAGTGCAGTGCTTTTGTCCACATCCATTCCCAACATTATATAAATTGGATCATCGTGCCCATAAATGCATTTTCTTGGGGAGCTACAAATACTACTCTCCTATCAAAAAACAGGTATATGTTCCTATGGATGGCACGTTCATTGAACATCTTCCATACTATTCCAAAACTGATTGTTATGGGAAGAAAGTGAGTGACAGTCAATATCATAAGAATTATTTTATCTCTAGCAGCCAATCTTGATTGGGGTTTCCAACAGTTAGATATTGGAAATGTTTTTTTTGAATGGTGATCAATAAGTAGACATGGATATTCATCCTGGATGTAAAGAGAATATTAATCCAACAAGGGTATGCAAACGTAAAATTTTGTCTATGGACTTTAGCAATTTTCTCATGCTTTGTTTGGTGGTTTTGAAAATTTTGTTATCAGTCTTGGATATATCTATATATTTACATGCCCTCTTAATAGTATATGTTGATTATATCATTCTTTCTAGACATAGTGAATTAGAATTGTAAATGCTGAAGAATCACTTAGCCCAAGAATTCAAAGTTAAATATCTAGGAAATCTCAAATAATTTTTTGGTCTGGAGGTTGCTCGGTGGGAAGAAGTGTATAGTTGTATCCCAAAGGAACTTCATGTTGGATCTTTGAGAAAGAGATTGACATGTTAGGATGTAAACCAGATGACTCTTTTATGGACTCCCTAATGAATATTGGATTCAACCATTAGAGCACACCTATGGATATGTGGAGATATCAACATCTTGTAAGATGAATTATCTATCTTGCTCATACATGTATAAATATTGGATTTACTGTCAGCATGGTTAGCCAGTTCAACGTAAGGACTGTTTTTTTTTTAAAAAAAAAAAAACTGACAAGACAAAGATTGAGGTATATTCTTATGCAGATTGAGCATGTTATGTTACAGATTGAAGATCTACCTCAGTCTATTGTTCTTTTGTATGGGGTAATCTTGTTACATGAAGAAGCAAAAACGAATTTGTGGTTGCAAGAAGTAGTGCAAAAGCTAAATTTAGAACACTTTCTCATGTCATATGTGAAAGTCTATGGATCAAGAGAGTCCCAAGGGAATTAGGCAAACATTGTTCATCACCAATATAAATGATGTGTGATGATCAAGTTGCCATAAGAATGACAAATATTCTAGTTCATCATGATAGGACAAAATATATTGAAGTTGTTCGGCTCAACTATGAGCCTACCGTACTCATCTATGTGCCTACTAAACAACAGTTGCAGATATTCTTACTAAGCCTTTACCAAGACCAATCTTTGAAGATTTGAATAGCAAGTTGGGATTGTATAATATGTACAACCCACCTTAAGGGCAGTGTTTCAATTTATGGTCAAAGTTAGGATAATCTTGTACTTTGTATTCTAGGTTTTTATTTCTTATTTCTTATTTTATTTTATCTTTTGTATTCTTTTATGTATGTTATAAGATTTTGTTTAGGGTATTATATCCTTTCCTTTATAAAAGTTGCACGTGTATTTATTCTAATATTTTGTATAGTTGAGATAGGAAAGAATCTTCACTAACAGAAGCTGTTAGATGGTGAATAGAGAACTCTCAACTTTAAAGAGGGGTGAAGGAGCTGTTAGATGGTTAATAGAGAACCCTCAAATTTGAAGGGGAGTGAAGCATGTGGTTGGTGGTATCTCTACAAAAAAAAAATACTTGGTTTCTAAAGTTATATACTCACGATTCATAGTCTATGAAACAGAGTGAATGTCAGCAACTCATTTGTGAGATTCTGCGAGCAACTCCTGAAGCAGCATCAGCTGATGCTGCTGTACAAACAGCTAGGCTTGCAAGCAAGGTGCCCTCCAAAGAAAAGAGGCATGCATTTAATTGAACTTCTTGATCATTCTTGAGCATATTTTGGAATCCTTTTCTATCTTCATTTGAATATTTGTTCACACTTTATCTTCATGTTACCTTTCTCACATTTACTTAAGCTTCGTTATCAACCTTCAGCATATTTTGTTTTGCTTATTTCTTCTTATTGTCATTTTTCTACATTTCATTGCTTATTTGTTTGGTCCTCTAGATTTACAATTGAAGTTCTAGACGCTGAAGCCCTTCAGAGATGTAATTTCTTGATAGAATTTGGTCTCAAAAGCACAGCTTGTGGGGGGTCTCGATTTTGGTGGATTAAAACATATGAATTTGGCTCTCTTTGCTAAGTTGGGTTGGAGATTCATGCATGAATTGGATTCTTTTTGGCGCTAAGTTGTTCCAAGTATTCGTGGGCGTTCTTTATTTCATTGACACACATCTGGCAAAAGTATAATGAGTCTTAGCAGCCCTTGGATTAGCATTTCTCAAGTCTGGAAGCAAGTGCAATTTTTTGCAGCTTTCAAGCAAGGTAATGGTAGAAGAATTTTTATTTGGGCAAGACCATAGAATTCTTCTCTGATGACTCGGTTCCCTCGGCCTTTTAACACTGTTGTATTCTCCAATGGTTCAGTTTTTGATAATTGGGATGTAATTGGACCATAGTTTTCGAAGATTTCTTAAAGATGAGGAAATTCTGCATTTCCAATTGTTTTTTAGTTGTACTTCAGAGGGAAAGGTGGTTTCTTCTTTGGATTCCAGGAGTTACTTGAGCCTTCAGGGGAATTTTTGGTGATTTCACTCTCTACGCATCTGGCCTTCTGTTCCCCTATGTATAAGAAGGCTAAGGAAGTTTATACAGATATTTGGAAATCTAAAACCCCCAAAAGATTTAATATTCTTATTTGGGCTATGTTTAATGATTCTCTAAATTGTTTTGAAGTTCTTCAGAGGTAGCTCCCTTCGCTTTACTTGTCTTCTTCCATTTTCTCAGTCTGTCAGATGTGAATACTTTGCAGCATTTATTCTTTAATTGTCAGAAGTTCTTCAGTGGGTTTTCTTCAACACTTTCCAGGAGAACGTTATTCAAGTGCTTGTTGGTCCTTGTCATCAAAATCTAAGGTTCTATGGTCTAATGCGGTGAAAGCACTTTTATCTGAAATTTGGTTTGAAAGAAATCAGAGGACTTTGTAACAAGCTTCTTCCATGGTCTGATTGTTTTGGGTTGTGTCATCTTAAAGTTTCATCATGGTGCTCTGTTTCCAAATACTTCACTATTTATTCAATTGAGGATTTAGGTCTTAGTTGGAATGCCTTCCTTCCCTTTGTAATCTTGGCTTTTTTATGTTCTTTTGTTTTGTTTTGTTTTTTTTTTTTTTTTGTTATTTTCCTTTGGTTATTGAAATTTTGAGCATTAGTATTTTTTTTTCATTATTTCAATGAAAAGTTTCGTTCCCCAAAAAAATAAATTACTCAAAGTGCAACAAAATTTTATTTCTCATTTTTAGCATATCAATTGTAATTGCATTCATTCTTACTGGTTTTGTACTTTATACAATATTCATACTTCTAATGTTTGAGTAGTCAAATTCCTTATGTTTATGCTTGTACTCATTTTTCTTGAATTTTTATTGCAAAAATGCATTTTCATGCAAATGTGCTGCAGGGATGGGGCAGATGATAGTCTCACTTTTGCTTTTCGTTTCACAGATGCTACAATATCTGTTCCTAACGAAGGTGGGTATGGATATTACCTACCTGCAAAACATTAATTGCTTTTTCCTTAAACTGACAGATCATGTGGAATCAGTTTCAGCAATGATTCTTTGACGCCTATAAAACTTGTTCTTTGAAGTTTGATACTCTAGCTCAATTGCATGGATATATATATATATATATATAATATTTTGGATAAGGAACAATTTGATTGATAGTATGGAATTACAAGGGATACCCCTAGAGGTGGATTTGCAAAAAGTCTCTCAAATTGGAGAGGAGGGTAGAATGGCTATACTGCTATGGTGATGGAAAAAGGGGAGCAATACCTTCTATAGATAATCATGTTGTCTGTGTGTTTTCACTCCTTCCATTTCTCTACTCTTCAGCATGTCTGAATAATTCTTTTGTTTAATTATTATAAAGGTGTGGATCTCATTCGCCATGGATGGAGTAGGAAGGGCCCCAATGTATCACAAGAAGGCTATGGATCAGCAGCTGTCTTGCCTGAACTGGGTTTTTATTTGGCAGCAGCCGTATACCGGCCAGTTCTTCAGGTTTCTGATTGTTTTTCATACGGACGATCAAATATGAATAAATAAGTCTAAATGGGTTTCTGTCCTGACATATTTTATGGTTTCTGCAGTTCACAGATAAGGTTGCTAAAATGCTTCCGGGAAAGTATTTGCAGCTCGGGTAAGTTTTATAAGGTGGAAAATATAGTTGTTTGTTCATACCAAGTTGCTACTTTAAAAGAATCTCCGCTTCAGATGGCTAATGATTCATTGCATGGTTACTTTCTTTGTTTACTCTTAATGGATGACGTATGAAGGAGAGCTTGGCATGGTTAAAAGATGACATGCTTTGATGATCAGGACAAGTTACATTGTTTGAGGAATATTCCCTGTATCTAAAAATCATTTATCGTTGCATGATACTGCTTTATGTTTTAGGATTCATTGAGTTAAGAGAATATGTTTTTGTAAGATATGTTTTCAAAAACTGTGTTCGGATTCTATAATCCGAAGAGTGAAATTTCTGAAAATGACATTTTTTATTTTTTCATTGTATCCAATTTTTGAATTTGAAATTTTAAAATGCATAATTATATTAAATAAATATAAAAAATTAATAAATACAGAAGTTTGGGCTATAAGCTTAATTTGTTTGTGTTAAATTAAAATATGTATAATATAATATATTATTAATTATATGATGTTATAAAATAACAATCATTCAAAATTTATTAGAAAAATTATAAATTAATTGATAATGATATATAATCAACCTAATATTTAGTTTTGCAACTACAACTAGTTTCATGGTCTATAAATATATTATAGAATACATTTTGAACAAATGTTTAAATTTGAAATGTGAAATACAACTTTGTTTTCATTCAACCTATTGTTTAAAAAAAAATCAGATTGCCTACCAAGCAAGCCCTTAGTATTTAAGGCTAGCTTTTTGTTCATCTAAATACATTATCTTCAGATCCCTTTATTATCTTTTATTCTGCATTACTATTGATTTTTTAAAAAATTTTGTTCCTGAAATTACAGGAATGATGGATTGCTTGCTTTTATGGACAATTTTGTGAAGGACCACTTTTTGCCGACTATGTTTGTAGACTACCGAAAAAGTATACAACAAGCTATTTCAAGCAAGTTCTCTTATCTCTTAGCTTCTCCTTCTAAAAACTACCGTTGGATTGGAACTTGAATTAAATATTAAGACATTTGTTTGAGATTATTTGTCAATAATTCCCAAATTTAAGTGCAACGAGTTTTGTGGACATGCATTAGTTTTTTCATACTATGCGTGAGATGTAAAGAATTCAAGTCTCACGTTTTTTTCCTGGTGAAATTAAAAGATTTCAGTAGGAAGTACTAAAATGCTTGCTGAGCACCACCGGCCACCAATGACGTTGGTTAATGAGGATGAAAGTTCTGGAGTTCTATTTGTGTCGGGAAAAACAGGACAACCACCCCAAAAACAGTATAAAACCTAAAAAAGTTCACCCATTTGTTTATAAATTTTTAAAAAGAAGAATATTATTGTCGTAAGCATAAACTGAGGTATAGTGTGAAGTGTTGTAGAGTTTCGTCCACACAATTTCTGTTTACTGCAGGCTGGGAGGGAGTAAATATGGAGGTCCTATGAGATTATGGTTACAACAAACTGAATTCTGCCAACCATGAAAAGTATCCTGGAAAAGCAGTTCTCTAGTTTTCCAATTGTTCTCATGAGATTTCTCCATCGACCCTTTTAATTAATACGGCATAACAGTATTGGAAATGGGTATCTATTAGGCATACAATGAAGAGATCAAATAGAGTTGCCAGTGTGTAACTCTGTAAAAGAAGGAAGAATCTTGCCTGTATTTTCAGTTTAAAACTGGGTCGGAGACTTGTCAGCTGTTTTTACTCTGACATTTCTGGTGAACTATATTTCTAAATTCAAGACCCCTTTATAGGTCCTGCTGCATTTCGACCAAGAGCTCAGGCTGCTGCAATTTATAATTCATCTGTTGAGAGGGGTCGTCCGGTCTTACAAGGACTATTGGCTATTGATTTCCTTGAACGAGAGGCAAGTCCATAATTCTCCAAGGGAGATGTTGACTTCCCTTTGAAATATTATTTCACCTTTTTGTAGTTTGTAGTTTGATATATTACGCAGATGTTTGGCCTTCAAAATTTCTGATTTGGACTTACCAAATTGTTGTAGGTTATTGATTGGGCTCAAGCCATGCCCAAATTTTCTGGCGAACTTGTGAAGTATGTGCAAACTTTCCTCGAGCGAACATATGAAAGGTGTCGAACATCGTATATGGAGGCATGTGTTTTTGTTCCTTGTCTGCTCTTTTTTCCTCAAGGTCTCCGGTTGTCTCCAGCTTATTGGTCTATTCTCTATTGACGAACTTTCTTCACCCCCCCCCCCCCTGTT